GAGGAACCTTGCACAAAGAATGAGTAGAGATTTTAAAAAGAATGGCTTTTTGATTGTTTGGATTTATTTACAACATAATCCAAAGATACACAACAAAGGACAAAAAAGCAGATTATTGAACACACTGATCTAAAGACAGAGACTTGAACAGTTACATAACTTTGTGCCATTCCTGAAACATAGTACAGTGTTTCCCAAACTTTTTTTTCTGGGGACCCACATTTTAAAGTCGATAAATCCTTGTGACCCAAAAAACATTAGGCCCATATAGTTCATATATCACGAAGAGAATTTATGCATTAACAAAATATGCATGACCATTTTTTAAGGTCAGTTAAGCTTCCAGTAAACTATTTAAAAGAGGTACAGATATTTGACAAAGCACTTTTTTTAAATTATTATTAACCTGTTGTTGACAATAAGCGAAATACAGAGATGAAATGAGAAAGGAAGAGTTGACAGGGCATCTCATTGTTTTCATATTCTCATTGTTACAGTGTACATAATTTACTATAATAATTATTATAGGCTTATTATCCTGACAGTGAGACTTTGTAACCATGCATGGCTCACTACCACTGTATAAAAAATGCCTAAACAGGCAAAAAAAAAAAAAACTATAGGTACACACAATTAATTATGTGTTCCTCTACCCCCCTAATAAATCTAAGGCAATATAAATGACTATAACATAGTATTCAATATAAATATTCCACATTTATGCCCAAACCATGGTAAATTATTACATTCATAGGCTATTATATGGTAAATGTTTGTAAGGGTGGTGATTAGGGCATTTAGTCTTCTAACTTTGTTCATGTTTCTTCTATTTACCTCATCGGTAGTGTTGGGAATGTTAAGACTGTTTCATCCAATTTAAAACTAGTTAAAATCATTGAGTGATTTGTGGTTTGTAAGAGAGAGTGTCCGATGGAAACGCTTCTCACTGGATGTCGCAACACTGTTTAATAATAGTGTCCGGGACCGGGAGTAAACGCAACTCCTTTAAGCTTTGCGTTCCGTTATCCACTGGACCGTGCTGCCTAGTTCAAAGTAAACTAGTGAAACAACTGAAACCAGCCCTATTTTGTTCTCTCTTTGACCGAGAAACCGCTTCAGGTGAACAAATCAGAATCGTTTCAGACCGTTATGCACGCGCGTTTGGCCAATTCATGGAAAGGAAATAATCAAACCAACGAATGATTAATATCGCTGGTTCAGTCGACAGAAATACGGGACACACATAAGAACTGCTGAAATATTCGGACTGTAAACGTTTCTCTCAGGTCCGTCGGAGCGCTCATGGTGCACACACAGTGCGTAGGCTAAAGTCATCCAGCTGCACGCGCCACTGCGGCGACGCGCATATCTAACCGAATTTAGCCGCACCACCAGAAAATAGGAGGAGAGGGAGGTTGAGGTGCCCTCAGCCGTATGGTGATGATTGGCGGGCCGCCAATTGAATAACCCTGATCTAGAGAGTAGCCTATAGAACACTGAAAAATAGTGCTCGACTTGGCGACCCAGACAAAATCTGCCGCGACCCACTTGTGGTCGTGATAAGCTGAAATAGCGGCAGCATGCACTTTGAGGGTGGAGGGAGACAGTCTTCGCTCCAAACCCTGCTGCAAGAAGGAAAACGCAGACCCTATCGAATATCTTCGGGGGTCTTCCCGGCGAGAAGAACACCACTCGACGAACAGGTTCCACTTCAGGGCTTAAACATGTCTCATGGACGGCGCCCGTGCTGAAGTGATGGTGTTAAGTACCTCAGGGGGTAAGTCACCTAGAACCTCCGCGTCCCGTCTAGGGACCAGACATGGAGTTTCCAGAGGTCTGGGTGCGGGTGCCATAGTACACATTGGTGCCCCGTCTCTGAGTCAGAAGATCCTTCCTCAGAGGAATGGGCCAGGGAGGCACTGTCACAAGGATCATGAGTTCTGGGAACCAAGTCTGGGTAGGCCAATAGGCAGCCACCAAAAGGACCTCCTCCTCGTCCTCCCTGACTGTGCACTGTGTCTGCGCAAGTTGGCTCACTGGGGGAAAAACTAAGGCTGCATTTACACTGCAGGTCTTGACACCCAAATCCAACTATATCCAATATCTGACTATATCCAATTTTCTTTGACGACCTGCTTACATCATCTTTTAAAAGTGACCCATATCTGATTTTTGCATTTAAATCTATATGGTGCTGAACCTACCAAATGTAGACGTTCTGACCCGTAAAATGAAGTAAAAAAGCATGAAATGCAATGGATGCAGATCCAAATAAAATTATCCAGTGTTTTTCTTTCCACAATATTTTGAAAAGTCATCAAAACATTGTCTCGTATGGCGGAGAAAAAAAAAGAGGAGAGGCACTGTAGCCACGAGCGCTTAAAACCATGCCTCCCCATATCTTATGAAATGTCTACAAATACGGATTTGTTAACAACCCTGCATTTTTGCCTGCAGTCTTCGCCCTAAACACTCAAAAGACATGAAACCTCCGTATTGCTCCACTGTGTGTATCCTTTCTTTTATCGTGCCTATAATCGCGCACTATTTTAATGTAAAAGTACGACTCGCAATTACTGGGGAATATTCAATTTGTCTGCTTACATGGCAAAGTTTGCTTCAATCAAAAAAAAATATTTTCAATTAAAAAAACCTTCACTTCAATAAAAAAAAAAACTTTTCTATCAAAGAGTATTTATATCCAAAAATATATTTGAGACTCAAAAAATACATTTGAACACTGCTTTTCTTTGATTGAAAATGTTTTCTTTGATAGAAGTCTGTTTTTTTTTTTAAAGCAACCTTTTTAATAGAAGTAACATTGTTTTTTGATTGGACCATATAATGGGTAGGACATTTGTATCTTTATCATTCAATCAAAAAAGAAGTTGCTTCAAACAAACAACAGAATCAATAAAAAAGTAACTTAAAAGATAAACATTTTCAAATATAGAAAATCGTTTTTGAATGCAAATAAAATATTTGAGACTCCAAAAATTGCTTTTGAACACGCTTTTTTTTTTTTTTTGAAAATGTTCTCTTTGAAGTAATCTTTTTGGTCCCACTTTATATTAAGTGGCTTTAATTAGGCCTACTATGTACTTATATTGAAAAATAAGTACAATGTACTTATTGTGCACATGTTGTATTGTAAAACACTTTTGCTGCTCTTGAGGTGGGATACGGGTAGGGTTAGGGACAGGTGTGGTGGAATGGGTAGGTTTAGGGGTGGGTTTAAGTATAAGTATGGGTCAGCTTTGTAATTACAGATTTTATTACATAAATTAGTTACAGCTGTAATTACATGCTGGTATTTTTAAAATATAAGTACAATGTAAAATAAATAAAAAAAAATGATCAAAATATTTTTTTTTAATTACCCCGTGAATAAAAAAAGTATTGAAGAGAATGTTGTTGTTTTTTTTTTTGTTTTTTTTTGTTTTTTGTTTTTTTTGAAGTGAAATTTTTTTTTAAAAGTTCAAATTGTTTTGACTGAATATTTTTTTTGAAGTGTAAAAAGTTTTGAAGTTCAAATTTTTTTTGATTGAATCATTTTGACACAAACGTTCCGCAGTGGGCGGTGGGTGCTTCTCTATTGGTCAGACATGTTTGATTGACAAGTGTCCACACCAACTACATCTTTCTGACAAAGAAGTCATGTTTGCCACTCACCAGCAAGCTTTTACCCCTACAGGATATTATCTACCTATTTATCACCTGATTTTATATTTTATTCACACTTTTTATGCATACGGGAGTGCGCTCGTGGCTCTAAGCATCGCGCCAGCCACATGATCTCTCACTATTCACACCTATCAGACACTCCGATTAATACATGAGAGCACACAGTGTTATCCTGCTCTTATGTACCTATTTATTTGTCATGTTATCTTATAATTTATTAAAAATTAAAATAAATAGATTAGCCTACTCTCAAATAATGTAATCTATATGAAATGAGCATTTCTCTCAGCGCGTTCACTACTGCAAAGATGGTTCCAATAGGGCAAAAAGAGCAAATAAAATATAAGAAAAAATTACAAAAAGGTAGATAAGAGATGGATTGCACTTTATGTGCTGTCATCTGAGTGTCTGGTTCATGTAAACAGTGAGAGATCTTGTGGCAGGCGCGACGCTAATAGGTGACGTGACGCGCGCGCTCCATTATGGACAAATAGAGCGAATAAAATATAAAATAAGATAACAAAAAGATACATAAGAGCAGGATTGCACTATCTGTTTGCACATGTGCATCAATCAGAGTGTCTGATAGGTGTAAACAGTGAGAGATCTTGTAGCTGGTGTGGCTGGCGTGAGGCTTAATAGAGCCACGAGTGCACTCCTATACGCATAAAAAGAGCGAATTAAATATAAGATCAGATGATAAATGGCTAAATAAGATATGTATTGCACACGCGCTGCATTGTTTTAGTTCAGAACGCAGCAAACATGGCATCAAAGCAGAAGCTCTCTAAAGATTCTAAAGGCAAACACGCGCACACACACACACGCACGCATGCACTTTTGAAGTAAAAGTGAAAATTGAGGATGCAGTGCATCGTAATGCATCGAGATATCAAATTGAACTGAATCGATGACATGATAATCATAATCGAACCGAACTGTGAAACCAGTTCACATCCCTAATACCCTTACAACAGCCCTGGTATACTATGGTTACGTTACATTGTGTCGCCACAATTGCTGCACCACCGCTGAGTGACCAGGTCACTGGCTCTCCTCCTCAGCGCTTTTTTATATACCCGGCCTGCGGGGCGGAGTTCACAATGCAAATCTTGCACTCCAATGTGCATTGGCTCATTTAATTTACACTCGAATGTGATTGGCTCTAAGGCGTGATCCCAAATCATCAGTTCACTTCAGACGTAATGTTCTCCGTTCCTTCCTTCAGCGAACGGGGTTTACCATAGTAACCTAAGACGTTTATGTGTACTCTCAGTTCTAATTGGGGTTCTAATTGTGTTTTTATTCTTGCACAGGTGTCCTGTCATGGCAGGGGGTCTTTTCTCAATAGATAAGAGCTATTTCTATGAGCTGGGGGCATACGACCCAGGCCTGGATGTCTGGGGTGGTGAAAACATGGAAATCTCTTTCAAGGTAAATTAGCAAAGGTGCATTAGCTGAGTCCAGAGACCAAAGATTTAAAGAGATCTTTTTTTTTTTTTTTTTTGATAAAATAGTTAATTGCATTGCATTTTGGCTGCTTTCTCTCTCTCTCTCTCTCTCTCTCTCTCTCTCTCTCCCCCTCCTTTTTTAAAAATTATTTAACACAGTCTTGTAGACATATCAGCATGGACTTTTAATGAAAAACAGAAATATGACTGTTTGGTCTAAAACTGGGGATTTTTTTTATACGAGTCCTTTTAAACATTTATTGAGCTGTACTTATTTAATACTTATATAATTATTTAATTGGATAGATTGCCCAATGGTATGCCCAATGTTACTTTTGCTGTAGATCTGGATGTGTGGCGGCGAGATTGAAATCATCCCCTGCTCACGTGTCGGCCACATCTTCCGTGGCGATAATCCTTACAAGTTCCCTAAAGACCGTGTGAAGACAGTAGAGAGAAACTTGGCCAGGGTTGTAGAGGTGTGGATGGATGAATATAAAGAGATCTTTTATGGTCATGGCTACCACCACCTACTGGACAAAAGTGTATCCGATATAGGAAATCTTACAGAACAGATTCAGCTGAGACAAAAACTCAAGTGTAAAAGCTTTAAATGGTACTTGGAGAATGTGTACCCAGACCTGGATGCCCCTCTTGTCAAAGCTGAAGGAGTGGTAGGTAGAAAATATCTAAACTTTAGGGGACATTGATTATAGAAGAGGCATATTTGATTTGCCTAATTCTTCTTTAACTAATCTTACAGATATTCTTGTTGAATTGTTTGTTAGTTGTTTACAGCTGTAGAAATTTACATCTCTTTTTTTCAGATTTTTAATGTTGGAGCCAGAAAATGTTTGGTATTTCAAAATGGCATATTTTCTTTTGATAAATGTGAGCTTACAGATAAGGTAAATCCAATTTTGATGTATTATTCACATGGATATTCTATTCTGCTATATAATATTTTATCATAACAGCACTGTTCTGCTTTCTCATGCCTCACAGAGTCAACAATTTAGCTATACCTGGTTAAGGATGCTTCGACAGAACACTTCCTGCTTGGCTCCTCAGGAAACACAGATTATCATGGAACCCTGTGACAACACTAAGCCACATCTCCGCTGGATGCACAAGTCTGGTAAAGTTTTGGTAAGTCCTAGGCAAAATACAATCTCTAGGTATGGCATCATTGATGCCCTTTAGCCGTGACTTATTCATCATACATCCCTAGCTTCGAGTACCTTATTGCTTTTATAAAACCGCACAATATAAATATTGAAGCCAAAAATAAGTATTAATGCAACTTTCATGAAGTAAAATCACTAAATGCTTTCCTTCCGCTGGAAAAAAAGTCAGTCACTGACCATGAACAGCAACAAAATATTCCTAATCCTATTTGTAATATGCATCATCTCATGGATCTCAAATAAAACCGATTAGGAACAGTTTTCATTCTGTCTTTTTTTAAAAACACAATATGTGATATTTCCTCATAAAAATACAGCTGCTTATCTCTCAGCATGAGAAATATGACTGTGGTGATATCGACACGGTTCTCTTTAGTTGAGACTCGGCAGTGAGAATGACGCTCCAGCACTTTCTTTGATTTAAGTCTGACCTCTAGTAGCTCTGACATAATTTCCCTTGATTTGAGGCGTAAAATAATGTCTATTTTACACCATTGTTTCAGTTTCTTTTAATATAAAATTATTTGTATGGAAGTAAAATAATGGCAAATGTTTTTTGAAACAAAAAAAAAGGTTGTTGAATTGCACTATTTGAAAAAATATGAAAAATATATAACCCTGCTTGCATTTTAATGCATTGTATTTTTGGGGGTTGCATTTTTTTATGGGCTAAAATACAACATGGTTGTATATTTAAGCTGTGAATAGTTAAATTCAAAACATTTCGCACATGTTTTCATTATTAAAATTCAATAATCCATATTCACCTTTCAGATTTCACTTCCAAAATATCAATTCTCTTTAAAAATACAAAGAGAATTACAATTAATTATAATTATATTATATTAATAATTAAATATAAAATACAACCTATAATATTTGACGGGCAATATTCGGTCCATTTTATTCCACTTTCAAAAATTCAGTGGTTCAAATTCAACAGAGGATTCAACATTTGACATCCGAGAATGACAGGAATATCAATAGATTGGCAAATTCAGTCCTGGAGGGCCATGGACCACTTGCACTGAACTTCGAGACGCACTTCCGTTTAGAAACAATACATATCACTTATTTCCGGTTATGTTTACTTTTCAATGTACTCATTGACTGTGGTCAATGAGTTGAACAAACAGCACCTAAAATCATCTGTAATAAGATGTAATTCATAATGAATTTCCAAAATAATTTATATTTTGGATATTTTTATTGACTGAAGAAGGGATATTCTGATGTTTACTGTGTGCAGAATTTTCAAAACTCATCGGAACATGAAGTTTCTCCAAACCAAGCCAATCTGAGAAAGATGTGGCTGTTAAAAATACGCCATAATTTCACCACAGGGTGTCAATGTTCGCGACACTAGTGACCGTGTCACGTAAATATTCCATGTCACTACAGCGGCTCAACTATAAGTTTATCAAGCGACAAGAATACTTTTTGTGCGCAAAAACAAACAAAAATAACGACTTTATTCGACTATCCCTTTTCTTCCTTATTGGCCTGAAACGAGACTTCCATACGATTTCCACGACGCATGCGCGAGAACTGAACTGAAGTAGTTGAAGGAGATTGCAATTCTCGCGCATGCGTCGTGGAAATCATCTTGAAGTCTCGTTTCAGGCCAACAAGGAAGAAAAGGAATAGTCGAATAAAGTCGTTGTTTTTTTTTTACATTTTCTTCATTGACTTTCTGGGCCGTCAAGAGCCAGTCCTTTAGGCAGTCTATGTTGTAGTGATACAGCTCTCAAATTTAATCAAAAATATCTTAATTTGTGTTCCGAAGACGAACGAAGGTCTTACGGGGTTACAGCATGGGGGTGAGTAATTAATGACTTAATTTTCATTTTTGGGTGAACTAACCCTTTCATAAACATCTGTCTCATTCTTGAATGAATCAACCGTTTGAACGAATCGTTTGAATTAATGAATCAATAACTCACTCATTTATACGGCCGCCTACCGCCACCTATTGGCAGTTTAGTGTTATGTTTATAAGTAGCCTAGTATAATTCTTTCCAATATTTCTTATTTGCACATTTAAATAAATTTTATAACATTATTTTATGAAATTGTAATTTTTCAGTTTAAATGATTTAATTTGATCAGCCCTACCTAGGGTAACAGTATGTTTCATCTTTCATTTTAAATTCCTAAATTTGATCAATAAATTCAATTATTTAGAATAATAAGACACTATAGGGCATTTAATAATATTAGGGGAGGGGATGCCCTTAAAGGTGCAGATATTACAATATGCCTTTTTAAATATCAAAGCTGATTGAACACTGATGAGAATATTGCTTCAGAATAAAAAATAAATAAATTTTAAAAATCCGGACAAGCAACTTTTTTACTCGGACAAGTGATTGACAGATTTACTTACTTGTCCGGAGGACAAGCACGTGAAAAGCTTAAGGGGATAGTTCACTTTGAAATTAATTTTTGATATGTTTTAGCTTACCTCAAGGGCATCCAAGATGTAGGTGTCTTTGTTTCCACAGTAGTTTAAATTTTGATATTTTTAAATATCAAAATTGAAAATACTGCGGAAACAAAAACACCTACATCTTGGATGCCCTTGAGGTAAGCTAAAACATATAAAAAATAATTTAGTGAACTATCCCTACCGACCCATGACCTCAACTGACAACCAACCGGAACCAAACTTTTTTTTCTTTTTTTTTTATGCCATATTGTAATGTCAATCGTTTTACTATTTACATGTTCATGCCCAAAATGCTTAATTAATATTCAAAGATGTTGATTGTCATTCACCTCTACGCTGCATGCATTCTGATCGTAGGCACCTCGCGAGCATTCATTCATTCAACTATTTTAAAAAGACAGGAATAAAGCACCAATGCACACAAGAAATACTTTTTATTAGTCAAAGTCATTCAAAAAATGTAAACTCAAAAGGTATAGAATATAAGTAGGCTAAGAGAAAAATACTGTTAATGAGAAGACTAGGACTTCTGCAGGTTAGTGGATAAATATATTTAGCCTATTTATTATTCAGAATGGAACATTTAAGAAAATATATTTATAGGAACATTTCAGCAGGCTCAAGATAATTAATACAGAGATCATTATTCATTGTTTTAATCAATTGGCATCCATAAAACGTAGTGATAATCTGCATTCTCATGTATGGACGTGCGATCCATACATCTACACTCTAACCGGAAACTCCCGATATGTAATTGGTAAACGCGGAAGTAGTTGTGCAAGTATTGCAGTGTCCTACAGAGTTTAGCTTCAGCCCTAATCAAACATAACTGAACAAGCTAATCAAGGTCGTCAATATTACTAGAAAGTTACAGGCAGGTGATTTTTTTAGGGTCTGGGCTAAACTCTGAAATCAAACCCTTTCTTAATACCAAATTAGAGCTTTGAGATTGACTGTACAAATAGATTTGACAAGAAATCGGAGGTGTAGTTTTACAGACTGCCTGAAAGCTACAGAACAGAGAAGCGAATAGATTGCTGTAATTCATAGAGACAACTGGACTCCAGGCAGTGAAACGTGGATTTGCAGTTATCTTATTGTGTTAAAATCATAACAATGGTAAATATTTAATTGAGGAACTGTCAATACATATAGAGACATGTATTGACAGTTCCTCAATTAAATATTTACCATTGTATATTTTGCATAATTGGTTGTTCTTAAATAAACAAAAACTATACAAGTTTTAGGCCTGGGCGATATGACGACATTTATTGCATTGATATAAGTGATCACCGAGATTTAGACCTACCTATGATTTATTTATATTAAGCGTTCACAGTCAAATTTGCTTTATGGATTTCCCCGGCGTCGAAATCAGGCACATACAAATGTCAGGAAACATGATTCCTGGCTGCATGTCAATATCCATGGATCACTGGATATTTTGTTAAGTTGTTAAGGAACAATATATCGAGTCCAACCTTTAGTTTGAACTGAAAATGGTTTGTTTTACTCGCATTTTTGCAGTTTCCCCTATTAAACCCAGTCATGCAACAGCTCTTTATCCACTCAGTCCAGCTGATGCAAACCTACTAAATGTATTTTAACTACTTTATAATCAAAACATATGGTCTTCTTTCTAATCTTGACAAAACATATTGCTCAAATGGTCTGAGTCTCAAGTTTCCATGTGTGGTGTCTGTTTTGTGATAGAAGTGAAATGTGGATAGAAATTGATCGATTTGTTACAGGAGAACCCATCAAAAAAATGTCAATGGAATGTGGGTGACACCCGGTGGATAATTTTGGTAGAGCGCCTAAACAAAATCTTAAAGGAACTTCAATTTTTGTGAAATCAGCTTCAAATTGTATGATATAGACATATGGCTTTAATTTTATAGTAATTTTATAGTAAAAAATATATTGTTAAATATATAGTTGATAAAATATTTTGGACAGTACATTTGATTTACAGTAAATTTAAAATTCCAAAATGTTTTTATACTTTCATTTTTTTGAAGTGCTCAATAATCTTTAAAACAAGACCAAACTTAGGTCTATATTCCAAAGCATTCTTGAATAACAACCATTTAAGTTTGGAATGTGCAGTTTCACGTCTATTCTCCAAAAGGGGCTGACAGTTAAGGGGTTTAAACTTACCACATTAAAACAGAGTTCCAAAGGTAATTTTAACTGTCATCAATCAACCCGTATCCACTTCCAATACCTAAAATAATTTTTACAGGTGATTTAATGCCCTTACACTATAAAAGCAAACTAGTTAAATTATCTGCAGCACATACTTTCATTAATGCTTGTTAAAAATATGACCCCCCATGTAAATTTAGTACTTTTGGAAAATTCTTGGGGCACTTGTGCCCCAGTAGTGATTAAACTACTATCTAACTGTATTGACTCAATTATTAAGACTGTCTATACCGCCATCTAATGGCATAATAATGTAACTTTCACTGAATTTGAAATCACACTAATGGACCATTTCTCTATACGGCATATTATTTATATAAAATAAAATATTAATTGTTGAAAAAATAATACTAATGGGCCATTTCTCAATACAGCATATTATTTATATAATATAATATAATATACAATATAATTGTTGAAAAAATAATATTTAAATGAACAACAATATCCATTATAAAAGTATAGGAAGTTTTTACAATAGGAAATAAACAAGTAAACAGTTTAGCCAAAAGTACAAAAGTAGTGCTTTATATTATACAGGAAATAACAATTATGTTTACATTTAATTGTTACATAAAACATAATTGTGAACTTGTATAAACATGTGTTTGGTCCTTAACTTTTAAATGTATCATTATGCAAAAACACGAGCAGAATTATCCGCATTAAAGATCAACATGCTAATACATTTTTGTCAGATAAGTAGGACATTAAAATTAATGTGAAGGATTTTAACTGTGACACGATGATTGCATAGTTTGGTAGTTTAAATGGTGAGAGGATCTACGTAACTGAGCGACAGAGTGGTCCGTTAAAAACGCAATTATGATGAATTAGTATGTCCCAAAGCTTGCCTACTAATCTGATACAAACTCAAAAGTATGTACTTTTTCTTCTCAAAATCAGTGCAGAATTTTAGGGTGTAAGTAGGCAAATTGAGAAGCAGCATTAATAAATTCTTAAATTCAATAATAATTTTGTAAAATTAAAATCAGATTTAATTTTTTTAAATGATAGAACAAATAAATAGTATATATATATATATATATATATAAATTATCTATAATTAACTAATTATCAGTATATATTCTCATTCACGGTTCCATGCTGGTGGAATAATCTGCCCATCATCATCCAGAATGCAGAATCCCTGACAGCATTCAAAAGACAACTGAAAACTCATCTCCTCCGTGAGCACTTAATATAAAACAAATAAATAAATAAAACAAATTTTAAAAAAAACTTGAAATCCTTAATTGTCTGGTTTATACTACTTTGAGCAATGTTTGAACTTTGTATTTTGAAAACTTCTTGTGTTGTTATTGCCTCTTCACAATGACTTGTTAGATTTAGTCCTCAGATGTAAGTCACGGATAAAAGCATCTGCTAAATGACTAAATGTAAATGTAAATTATCTTTTACTGAGCAAAACTATCATAGTATGAAAGACTCCAATACAGAGCGGCACTAAAGCACTCATATAATGAGTGTATGATATGAGTGTATGAGAATATACACTCATATATTCTCGCTTAAAGCACATGGAGTCCTGGGTATATGTTATATTGTGTGTGTGTGTGTGTGTGTGTGTGCAACACTGAGAGTATCTATCCAACTGTTTACTGAAACATTTTCATTGAGTTTTATATTCCAATTACTGTGTGAATGACGAGTTTTATTCAGTCCTTTCATCTGATAGTGAGCACCACACCATTTAGTATCACCAATAAACTCATTTTAAACAAAAGCCCTGACCTTTATGCATAATCTGTGTTCCGATTATGCATAATAATGGGAACATTGGAACATCTTGGAGAGAGATTTACTGTGCTGACTGTAGTAAATGTATGTGACACTGTTTGAAGATGCTGAACGGAGAATGACATTTGACAGCTGCTGCGAATTAAACCGTTTCTGTGAACTTCAATTTATCTGTTCCTCAAATAAAGCAATTTAATGGCTTCAGAACACCTGGAATATAATTCACTAAACCTTTTGTGGTGCTTTGTTGTCCTTTTGTTTGAGCTTGACTGGATCAGTCTTGTCTGACTGTTACCCGATCAGGCAAAACTCAGATACTGAGCATCAGATTAGTGCTTCTCTAGTTGTATGTAGTCTTGTACCTAGCTCAAGATTTATGTGTGATTAGTTCAAGTGTGTAATTATGTTTTGACCAAAGTCTGCCTTCTATATCTGTCTAGACGGATCATGTGATGATAGAGAGTCATTCCCAACCAATCTGTCTGGAAGCTGGAGTTAAAGCTGGCATCTACCTTAAGAACTGTGATCCCATCAATACTTTTCAAAAATGGCAGTTCACACATTACTACGCTCAGTGAGATGCTCCAGAATATCACTGACATATTCTCCATCACAATTTTCTCCTCTGTCTTGATATTTCTTTATTTTTATTTTTTTTTTTCATTTTTTTTTTTTTATTTAAATATGTGTGATTTGAGGAAAAGGTTTTGTGTAAGGTCCATATGTGTAATGTAGATGTGCATTTGTTTTTTTTCTTTTTATTTTGTTATTTTACATGTTTACTCATAATTGTTTGGGGATTGATTCAGGTGTCTTTTTGGCTAATTCAGATTATTCATATTTTTGGGGTTTTGTGAGAAATACTTTTGGATATTGATAGCAAATTATACACAGGGGTTTTGCACAATAATAATAAAAAAAAAATTAAAAACCCATCTGGGGATTTTTTACAAGTTCAAATTGTCTCTGTACACTATCAAGGATTTAATTTTGTTGAAGTGGGTATGAAATGTCTGACTTTAATATCATATTGTCTATTTCCAAGTGAAACTGCTTTTTGGACAAGAACAAAAATGTAGATTGGATTGTGAAAAGTGAGTGTTGCATACCTCGAAGGGCCACTGGCCCAACGACTTAATCCAATGAAGGTTTTCTGTGCATTCTGTATTTGCCTTGCACTGCTGTGCATAAGTTATTGCAGTTTACTGTTTGACTCCTTTTTATCATAACCTTGAATATAGGTTGGAATGCCAAATGATAATTGGTCATTTTACATTATTATTTATCTTGACATTTTTGAGTATCCAATCTTAGATAGCATACCGGTCTTGGTAGTTAGAAGTACAGTATTACGGACAATATTATTTGATGGCAGTGAATTTTTTATTTTTTTTTTCAAAAGTACTTTGTTAAGTCTCTTTAGATGACGCTTAATTAGAGTAACATTATTTCTATTTGGAAGTCGATTTGAAAAGATAGACCAATATTAATTTGTCTAATTATTTCAGAGTAGATAAGAATCAAATGAAATGTAACACTTTCCTATTAGTTTCACCAAGGTCAGATAAATCCCATCACATAGAGGCTCTTTCACCTAGATATCTGAGACTGTCTGTTCCCCAAATTTGTATATCCAAAAAACGTCAGATTAAAAATTGAATTGATGTTCAACAAATAAAAAAACAGATATAATACAGATGAGAACATTATAAAGCTTGGGTTGCTGAAAATTCGATCCCTTACTTCAAAGTCGCTCATAGTTAATGATATGATTTCAGATCTAGATTATCTAGATGTGCTGTGTTTGACAAAAACCTGGCTAAAACCAAACGATTACATTAATTTAAAGGAGCAATGTGTGACTTTTAGCGACATCTAGTGGTTCGGTTGCGAGTTTGCACCAGGTTTGCACTAAGGGCTCAGGCCACTGCTCACCCCTCCCTTTCGAAGAAGCTACGGTTGCTAAAACGGGACAAACATCTCGTCGGCTGAGACAGCAGAGAATAGCCAGAGTAAGCCAAGAGTGTGTAACATTGTCACTGTTTCTGTACCACAGTCCATTATAAACCACATCATGAATACTGTTTACAAAGCCATAGTCAGGTGAGGATCAAGGGTTTTAATATATAATTTAATAAAATAATATTAATCAGCTGATTGTCTCACAAACGTAACCAGCAGCACATTTATCCCCACATACTGTAGCAAACCCATAATACAGCGAGGGAGCAGCTATATATTTTTTCTAACAGGGTAGTAATAGTTTAGCTGGCTAATATGAGCTGTTACTGTGGCTGAGCTGGGACTCGTCCGCATGAGTCCAAAGGTCGGAACTGCGCGCGCTGTTACAATCATGTCATCTCCGCATCCCATAGATACTATTTACTACACACAATAGGCTTTTTTTTCTCTGATTTTGAAAAATCTTCGCGTCGACTTTAGTGATAAAAGACTTTAGTAAAAGTCTCTATCGACGGGTTAGTGATTCCTGTAACGTACTGTTTTACGGTCAATGACATGAATACTAATCATCAGCTGTCTCACGAACGTAACAGCACATCTATCTCCAACATAACAAACCCATAACACAGCGAGGGAGAACTAAGTTACATGAAACAATCCCAACTACATATTTTACACCACTCACAAGGGAAAAGTCACTACTCACGGAGTGTAAGGCTAGCTTCCAGCTTTCCGCTACTTCTCTTTCAAGGTAGTGATGAAACGCGTTCTGTAGCACTGTGTGTTCGCGTTCGGCTACGGTAGGAATATGACGTCACAACATGGCGACCTTCATAGAAGGGGATTCCCGCGGTTATGGAGCTATTAATGTCTCATTCTAAGGTAATAAAAACATTACGGTTAATTAAGTAAGTTCTTTATACACCACTAAAAACATAGTTATGGATGTCATATTGCATTTCTGTTAATAGATACTCAACTTTGTTACACATTGCACCTTTAAATGAGTCAACCCCACAAGATTACTGTTATAAACATGAACCTCGTCTGAAAGGCAGGGGGAGGTGTTGCTGTAATTTATAGTAATATCCTCAAAACCACTACCACCTTAAAACTAGTTTTAAAAATACTTCTTTTGAAGTATTGGTGCTTAGTGTAAAAAATATATAGTGTAAATGATAAATCACATTTTAGAATTCTGCTGGCTACTATATGGCCACCAGGGCACCAGAATGATTTTATCAAAGAATTTGTGGACTTTCTATCAGAGTTAGTCCTGGCTGCAGATAAAGTAGGCTACTAATAGTTGGTGACTTTAATATACATGTAGATAATGAAAAAAATGCATTGGGATTGACATTTAAAGGCATTAAATACTCAATTGGAGTTAGACAACACGTGTCAGGACTTACTCATTGTCGTAATCATACTCTAGATCTAATATTATCACATGGAATAGATGTTAATACTGTTGAATAGATGTTAATACTGTTGACATTCTGCTGCAGAGCGATGACATCTCAGATCATGTTCTAGTCTCATGTAAACTTCACTTAGCCAAAACAGCAAAGACAACTCCGTGTTATAAATATGTTAGACCTATAACTTCTGCCACTAAAGATTGCTTTATCAATAATCTTCCTAATCAGTTTCATCATCTCAGCATCCCGAATAGCTTAGAAGAACTTGATATTGTGACAGAAACTTTTAACTCTCTTTTCCAGCACTTTAGACGCAGTTGCTCGGTTGCGCTTAAAGAAGGTTAAAGCTACACTGTGTAACTTTTTTAGTTTATTAAAAAAAGAACTAAAAACACTTATATATGAAGAGTTCAGATGCAAAAGCATCTAAATGCCATTTGAAATTTTCTTCTTTAATGATGATTTTTATCAAACTTGTATATTTAAGTTCAGTAATTTCACTTAAATAACAATTAATAGGTAATTATCATTGCCATTTAAGTGAAATCACTGAACTTAAATATACAAGCTTGATAAAAATGATCATTCTAGAAGAAAATTTCAAATGGCACTTAGAGGCTTTTGCATCTGAACTCTTCATATGTGCTCATTATATGTGCTCACTCAGCTGTCACAGTGCGTCATTTTTTTATGACTTTTTGCCCCCTTTAAAACATTTAAAATATTCACAAATTAATATGGGAAATAATACTGGTTTTCTAAGGCCAAATTAGAACATGGATATTTATGATATTTTTCCCGCAGTGCTGTAGGCTATAGGTGAGTTATTATTAATGCGTCTGAAAAAAATAACGAGCTAAAACATAATCTCCGGATGCACCTTTAGAGAGAACTGCACCTTTCATACGGATTAGATAATCAAAAGGTATTACAACGTTTACGATTCGAATTTGTTCTTTTTAAAATGGACATTTAAAGCTTTAGTCTATAAAGGCTATTGGTTCAGTTCTCGTGCTCCAGTTCACGAAGATCATAAAGTGCGCCTGATTGTTTTATGTTATTTTACAAAAGCACGTTTTCTTGTTATTGTGATATTACACAAATAAAAGTAGTTGCGAATAATGTATTATTATTTTCTGTTTAACCAGATATGATAGAGTATTTTAAGTTGATTCCACTGTTGATGGGAAAATGAAAGTGTTCACGGCGTGCCCGTTTGGAGCATACAGTGCGTGCTCCAAACTCCACACACTCTCTTGGATATTGGTCAAAATCGAGTGTTTATTTGTGATAATTTTAGCCCTATTATTGTCCAACCTGTACTATGAATGAGATGTGAGGAATTGCTTTGTTCCTTTTTTGGATAAAAGCGTCTTCTACATAATGTAGCCCTAATAAATGTTATAATAGGCTAATGATGATAATTATTATTATTATTTGCGTACACGGAACCTAAAACACACTCCGTCTTCTATGGTATGGTATGGTATGGTATACTTTATTGTCCCAATGGGAAATTTGTCTTGGGCTCACAATTACAACCACTGCACCAGACAATTAAAACAAACACAATTCATAAAAAACAAAGAAATACACATTTAAAAACAAGTAGTTAGCCTCACAAATACTGTGTACATTGGAGAGAACTTGCCACTGAACAATGGAAGAGTGTTTGGCATCCCCTCATTCTGCATTGTAAAATGATTGGCATGACATCATTCTCTACACTAGAACGTGAGGCATCATGCAACTCTTCTACACTTAAAGTAATTATTATTTCTGCTTGGTATTATTTATTAACTTAACAGCTGAAGGAATAAATGAATTCTTAAACCGGTTTAGTCTACAGCTGGGCATTCTCAGTCTTCTCCCCGATGGCAGCATTACAAACTCAGAGTACAGGACATGTGTTGTATCATGCATAATCTTATTTGCCTCCCTCAATATAGATTTTTCATATAAGGTCTGGAGATACAGAGGTTCTGTTCTGCCCATGACCTTCATGGCCGTTTGAATGAGACGACCCAGCCTAGATTTCAAATGTACTGTTAAGTTACCGTACCAAAGATGTATTCCATAAGTGATCACATTCTCCAATACAGCCTGATAAAACAACATCATAATCCTACTACTGACCCCATAAAGTCTCAGCCTTCTCAAAAAATACAGTCTTTGTTGTAGTAGAGTGCACAAAGAATCTATATGAGCCTGCCATGTAAGAGAACAGTCAATGTAGACACCCAGATATTTATATGAGGACACTTGTGTAATAGGAACATCATGAATACAAATAGAGCTATGGTTTCCAATTGACTTTGGATCAAATATCATCTCCTCAGTTTTCTTCACATTCACAACCAGGTGGTTGGCATCACACCACTCTATAAACTGATTAATCTCAGAGCAGTAAGACAAAATGTCTTGGTCTTTATGTAACAAGCTAAGAATCGCAGTATCATCACTAAATTTCACAATATAGTTGTTACTGTTATTCCTCACACAACTGTTTGTATAAAGTGTGAAGAGAACTGGGGAGCTTACACACCCTTGAGGGGCTCCTGTACTAATGACATGAGAGTCTGAGATCTTCCCATTCACCCTAACCTGTTGGGTTCTATTTGTTAAAAAGGAAAAATACCATTTAATAATAAACGGATTAACATCCATCAATTTAAGTTTCTCTAATAATAAATACGGTTGCAAAGAATTAAAAGCTGAACTAAAATCAATAAAAAGTAGACGCGCATATGCCTTTGAATCATCCAAATGTTTCGATACAAGATGAGTGATACTTCCTACTGCATCATCCGTGCTTCTACCCTGTCTATACGCAAACTGCCATGGATCTAATTTTGACATAACTTCATTTTTTAATAAA